TTGTTACAGCACCGGAGCAAGCCAGGCTTCCTCGTTTGAGATGCCCTCCCAACCCATCTACTCCCACCCACCCCCAGTACATGCATGAAGATGACACCTCGAGACAAAGACAAAGCAGATCCACAAGCACAGAGTTTTCAATCATACTCTGCATTTAGAAGAAGCAGAGTGGCAAGCATCTACTTGACTGTCCATACAGGAAAGAAAAAAGATGATGTATATGTTCTGGAGCTGCTAGGGATGGACTGGCAGTCACCAGCTCAAACTACTGACTTGGGGTTTAATTAAAACCAATGTAAGCTTGTGTTGTGGGTGTACTGTCCTCAATTAAGAGGAGTCATAAACACAGTTCGCTTCTGGGACGTACAGCCTGCCTTTTCTTCTAAATTCACAGAATTCCCATTACACAACGGCAGTAGCCACAGGGTACAACTCTCTGTATTTCGACATCATTGCAGCGTACAGGGCACCAATTCTATATCTGGATAATGCAAAGTTTGCAGATGTTACACAAAACCTTCAGCTTGCTATCTGCAGGAACAGCTCGACTGTCCCAGCAACCCCTTACTCACTCCACGCAGTCAATGCCCCATGGCCACCCTGCTTCTACAGTCATTAGGGGAAACTAATGGACTGCTCAAAATAACAGGGACATGTAGCTGAAACCAGTCATGGATATGGATTACAAAAGTTGATTCTAGAGAACATGTCATCAGCCCAAATCAGACCAATATTGATCATGTGGCATACAAAGGCCATGTAAAGCACTAAATACTCAACTAGCTATTATGGTCCACTTCTGCATCAGTGTTGCCCAGAAAATGCAGACTTGTAGGGGCACTCTTCATTACCTATGAATGCATCAAGGTCCATATCTCCTGCAGCATGGCTGGACGTGACAACTGAAGCGCTACAACAGAGGGTCATGCCTTCCCTGCCTGGAGAGTTCTGTTTGTCAGATGAATGCAAGAAAATGATCCTTGAAGGAAAGAAGCAAAGAGAGCACTTGCTAAGCAAGTATTCCCAGCACTTGTGTGCACATCCTGCCACCTACTGTTGGATCTGCACTACACAGTTCAAGACACCATTATTTCTAATTCTGAACATGGGCCCATATGTGGATCACTGAATCTGTAGATTAGGGTCATGTACAGGGAAAGGAGATCTTTCTACAAACAGGAGGTGGGGGGCTTACAGGTTTAAATAATTTTTTTTAAAAAAGAGGTGAAGGAACTAAAACCTTGCCTTACCAAGAAAAACCAGCCACCATTTTGACCTCATAAACAGGTGGCTGGCTACAGTAAAGGAAGGGGAATGTGCTGCCACTGTGTGGGCTAGGCTAAAAAGGGAGTGAGCATGTGAGGCATCCCTGGATGGATGGAGGGGGGGAAAGGGTGGCACAAATGACCAAGGCAGCAGGGAAGGAAGGAGGTGGCAGTGGTTGGGAGGGTGGAAGAGGTTGTGCTGCGGGGCAGATGAGCAAGCAAAGAAGCAAAGAGGTGGCATGGGTGAGTGAAACCGCAGGGACAGAAGGAGCAGGCTGTGATGGGGAGGAAAGAGACATGCCGCCAGGCAGGTGAGCAAGTAGGTTGGTGAGCAGTGATGGAGGCAGCAAAAGAGGAGACTCAAGAAAAAAGACAGATGGAGGGGAAAGAGACAACAGGAGGAGGCGGCAGGAGAGTAAGAAAGGCAAATGACAGAAAGTGGAAGGAGGAAAGGGGGACCATGGGAGGGTGGAATTTACCTCTCCCTGTGCATTCCTTGCAGTCTACACTTGTATTCTCCTAGCTTCCTTTTAAGGCCACATCCTAATAAAATAACATGTGTAGTGGTTAGAGTTTCAGAGTACGATTTGGGAGACCCAGGTTCAAATCCACACTCTGCCATGATAATATGTGACTGACCCAAGGTCACCCAGAACGCTATCACCCTAAACTACCTCACAGCGTTGTTGTGAGAATCAAATACAGGAGGGGATATCACTGTTAGGTGAAATGCAGGGTATAAATGAAGTAAACAGATAAAACAAAAATGTTATTAATGTCTGGAGCTTAGCAATTTTCCAAAAGGTACAGAAAGGTCGCCCCTGCACACATACACCATGACCTCAATACAGTTGTACAGAATCCATACGTAGTGTTTTTAAATCCTGACGTTTCTCCAAGAAATTCAGGGCAGCATACATTGTACCCAGCTGTCAGGACTTGCCCTGGCCCTGCTTCAACCTGTGATGAAGACTCCTCCAAGACTGAGAAGCCCTTTCCCATGGTCCCCACTACAACCTAAGCCAAGGGTGTTAAACATATGGCCCATGGGCCAGATCTGCCCCCCCCCATAGGGCTCAGGTCCAGCCCACAAGCAACTTCCTTCTCCAGGGCTGCTACTGCAGCTGCACTGTAGCTTGCTTTCCCCCCAGCTCTTTGCTTCCTGCCTCTTCCCCCCCCCCCCCCCCGCTTGCTTCCTTCTCCGAGGCTGCTTCTCCTCTTTTGGGGAGGAAGGGAGGGGGAGGAGAGAGAGAGAAAGAAAACAAAGTTGGAGTCCCACGGCAGCTTTAATACCAACAATGCTTTATTCCAGGTATAATCATTTGTGTGCAAGCAAACTTCTTCGGAGGGAAGGAGAGAAGAATTCTTCTGACAAGCACAGTTTACACTGAGGAAATTATTTTGGCTTATTCTGGATTTTAAAAAAAAAGATTGGATTTCTCTGTTCCTATCTGAATTTTATTTTCTTTCAAAAAGACCCTGATTAGGAATTAGAACACTTGGATTGGTCCTTATATCTTGGAGAGTGGAGTGATTTAAGATGCCAAATGATAATAGCACACATTGGTGACAGGAAAACTAGGTCTCATTTCAGTCCTGGAGGATGCATTGTCTTGAGCTTCAATATCAATTGCAATTCAGCAGTCTCTCTAATCTCCCTTCGAATTTTTTTTGTAAGAGCACTGCTACTGTATTTCAACAGCTGAATGTTGTGGTTTCTAATGTCAGACTTCTGTCCATTTATTCTTTGCATCCTCCTGGACTGAATCCTCCTGGACCAAATTCCTGTCTCATTACCAATGCTGGTATCTCCAAGCCTGCTATCCCTCTGCATATCACACCTAATCCATCAAGTCATTCACCTGCTATTTACTATTCGGCATCTGAAATCACCTTTATAAATTTTATATCTCTGTACCTCATGTTACATTTCATGGCACACATGGCCTGGCCCAACAAAATGACATTTATGTCAGATCCAGCCCCCGTAACAAATGAGTTCGACTCCTCTGCCCTAAGCTCCCTGCACCACAAAGCCTCCAAGGGACAACCACTGCAGGCTCCTGTTCAAGAGCCAGTGGAACAAGCATACCAGGAACTCTAAGCAGAACCATCCACCTCCAGCACCCCCAGTCTCCCTGCAGCGAAGATAACTAAGAACCAGAGCCAAAGCCTGGACCAGAAACAGTGCATGCCAGCGGCTCAAGGCATCCCACACTCTAGCCTCCTGGAGGAGCAGAGTGTCGCTCTTTAGATCTTTGCAGGATACAGGACCCAACTCCAGCTACAGAAAGGGTTGGGATTATCAGCTCCCCAACCCAGCTTGTGCTTCTTGCAGCAAGTCTCCTGCTGTCCAGCTCCTCCTCTAACACTGAGGGTCAGCTCTACCTCTATCTGATATTGGCAAGCCTACAGATAGTCCTTGACTTCATTCCGTGAAGACCAAGTAGTAAATGAGACACCTGCCCCCATTTTAACCTCACAACAGCGCTAGGAAGTAGGACAGGCTCAGAGAATGTGACTGATCAAAGTTACCCAGGGAGCTTTCATGACAAGCAGAGATTTGAACCTGAGCCTTAATATATTTGGATACTCTTAACCACTACACCACATGTGGCTCTTTATGTGCAAGGAGGAAGAAAAGCCTCCGGTTGTATTCCGCCATTTCAGCCCCTTTCATATATTGGCCTTACTGCAATTAGTTAGGAAAGGGGAAGGCCAATTATTGTCTCCTCTTGGTTCTCTTAACTCTGGCGTTTTCCACATGGGGAAAGGTTTGTGTAGTTTCCTCACTGATGCTGCAGCTGGCAATACAGCACAGAGGCAACAGGGCTTCCACATGGCAAGTTTTTCTGTAGCTTCTCTGCCCTAGTCCACCCAGCAGTGGCCACCCACTCCCATGCCACCAGGGCTTTTTAAATTGCTAACTAAATATCATTATAACAATATGTGTATCAGGTTCTCTGAATCCACAGCTTTTATTTCAAGAAGTCTAGTTCCTTTTATTGTGGAGATATAAGGGAAAAGGTATATCTCTGCAATGAAATGGATTAGACATTTTCTTTTTTTAAAATAAAAGCTGGCAATTCAGAGAAACTGATAGACAGATTGCTTTAACAATATAATAATATTGAATTGCCAATTAAGAAAAACAAAAAGACCCCCACTGGCAGGGGGAAGAAATGGCTGCTGAGGGGCAGGGAAAATGCCTGCCATGTAGGAGGGAAACTCTGAACTTTCCCACCCACGTCCAGACTTTGCTGTGATCTTTTCCAAAGTTTTCCAACAAAGAAGGTTTGCTTATGATGCTCTGGGGAAGGAGGGGGGGAAATCCCACTTCCCATCACTATCAAATGTGGAGCAACTAACTTGTGTGGGGGGAAAGCCTCTTGAATAAAGAATCTGCAAAGCAAGAATGCCACTTTTCCCACCCTACCTTTATCACTGTCAAGCGAAGGCACCTCCTAATACTGGGAGACTCCCACCCAAGCACCAGTGTTGTACAGATTCAAAAGAAAGGCCTGACTGATAGTTGTTCTAATGGAAAGTTTCCCTTCTCTTCAGCAGTTACAAGAACAAGACAGGAGAGAAAACAAAAGAATCCAAAAGGAAAATATTTATTCTAAAAGACACAAACTTTCTGCTCCCAAACCCATGTAGCAGGCTCAGTGAAGACAAAAGAGTGTCTTGAAAAGGACCAGGTACAAACCTGAGGAAAACAGGATCAAGCTTGCAGAAGATGAGAGCAGCCAGTTCAATCATCCATATTTCTTTTCTTTTGAAGCTGGTAATAGGGTTCTACACAGTAGGAATCAAACCCCTTCAACCTAAGCTAATTAATTCCACATCCTTTACTCTTTTTCTAATAATCTTGCGGCCACTGCAAGACAGCTCATAGAAAACTGAAGCAAATTAACAGCAGTGTAAGAGATAGTGTTTGTTCCTGTGCCTCAGACATCCTCTGCAGAGAACAGTTATGATGCAATCTTCATGCTGGGCATGTTGGGTATGCCGTTCCAAAGCTGAACACAGAGAACGCTGCTTTCTGTACAGTTCAGAACACAATTCATTCACCCAGAAATGATGGCTGTTAACCCCCATATTACCCACTTGCCCACCACTTGCCCACCACAGATCACATTGGCCTGAAATCTGCTTGTCCCGGTGGCCTGACACTCATTCAAAAAACAGCCATTTCAAGTGGATGGCTGCTGTGGTTGCTGGTAGATACTTTTGCTCCCAAACAGTTCTGGGTGTTCTGTAATGCTGGAATTGTTACCTCAGACTGGCTTCCTTAGTTTCTCCAAAGCAAGTTGGCTCTGGGCTGACAGCTGTTGTTGCTGTTTACGTTTCTTTAGGTCCCGGTAGGCTTGGACAACCCTGTCTCTCTCCTCCTGCACAATCCTCTGGCGAGCAAGAGATGCATGGACGACTTTATGAGTAGAGGCTGCTGTGCCAGAGCCCAAGAGAGACATCAGCAGAAGCTGCCTCTGGCCAGCCTGGAACATGAAAGAGAGGGCCTCAAGCTGGAGTGATATGAAGGGGGAAAGGCAGTGACTGAACCCAGAACACGAGCCATGATCTTGTCTAAAGGTGTCCAATACTCCCTCCCCCCGCCCCATCTGGGTACAACTCACTTGGCACATTAGGGTTAATACAGGTTACCAATATCCCCGTAGTTTTGCTCCAGATTGAATTAAAATCTTTGGGTATGGACAACCAGGACAGGGTTAGGAGACAGGCCTAGAATCACGTGCAGCACAATGACATCCCTTCTCTCTAGCGACACTCTTTCTGGGCTTTGCTGTAAGTGTTGGGGGCTGCAGAGCAACTTCTCCAAACTGTATTGAGTCTAAAAGCAGTAAGAAATGAGTTAAAACTATGGATCAGGTTGTTTACAAGATAGGGAAGGTTCCAAAATACACACCACATTCTTCTCTCACAAGCAAGCAGACTTGTGCCTGAAGTCCTGCCTAGAATTCAACAGGGCCTCTTCCTTGTGCCTCTTCATAAGGCCACAAGGCAGGGAATGAATGCAGTTCCATCCAGAATACTAACCACAACTCTAAGTAGGAAGGGGAAGAGGGCAGGGCTCTAAAGCAAATCCATCCGTTGCACATCACCATAAGATTCTGTGACAAATGCTACTGCTTAATCAGAGTCCAAATGGCCCAGCACAGAACTTAGAACAATTCAAGTACACAACATTTACCTTTGCCTTGTAAAGCCACAGTACTTATTTTTGAAAAAGAAGCTGAGGCCAACACCCACCTTCCTCTATTGGACAGATACAGGTCAAGATCTGCTTGGCATCAACTGCCTGAAACCCAGGGGTGTTATGGTAAGAGTTTACTGAACTGGAAACCATCATCAACCACCCTGGAGGGCTACAGCAAAGGGACTGCCTTCCATTTTTCTAACCGTACACGAGATAAACAATATGCAAAAAACAGCCCTTTATTTCTACACAAAAAGGACCTTGCAGTTTCAGTTTCACAAGAAGCTGGTCTTTTTTGTTAAGCACAAAGGAATCTAAGGACACTAAGATTCTAAAAATTGTTTTCTAACCAATGTCCGTTGCAGCCCTAAGCAATTATTTAGATTCAGACCAATCTCATCACCCCAAACCACTCTGGCCTACAGCCACAGCCTTTCCCTTCGCACAAAATCCCTATTATCCAAGTACTTTGGCTGCCCAGGCTCTGAGAGCATATTATGCCGTATGCCAGGGAATCACGGATATATAGACACGTAATATAATATAACTCTTCCGTGAAAATTACTAAAGAATATTAAAATCACAGTTATTTATCCATTGTATAAAAGACCACCTCTCAACGTACATACAATATCAAAACATCTTATAGTTCCAGTATCAATATAATGCTAGAAGGTATATCCTGTATTAAACTGAGCTGCAAGAGGAGCCAGCCCAGGATCAGCCGGTTGGCAAGCTCTGTTGGGCAGCCTGGTTTAAACCAGGCTGCCCAGCAGAGCCTCAGCACAGCCTGCAGGGGGAGTGCTCCCCGAGGGATATGCCCCCCCCCCAAATGTACCTTTCCCAGGTTCTCTGAATTCTTAAGCATTTGAGCAGATACGCAGTAAAGGTGTATCTCAATCTCTCCACAATGCTGAATGTTTACAATGGGAGTCCCCTGAGCTCTTGGCAGAAACCCAGAAGAAATTATTGGTGAGACATGAGTTTGGATAAGAAAGTTTTTCTATGTGAGTGTTTACAAATGACGAGCAATTCCACCTTTGAAAAAGAACGCAATTACAAAAACGGAAAGGAGCTAGCAAATCCACTGGGCTGGAATTGAGTTTGTAAATACACGGAGCCTATTTTTTGGACCATCTCATTTGGAAAGCTCTTATACAGAGACTTTGGGGACTGAAATGGCAACAAATATTCAGCATTGTGGAGAGATTTTATTTATTTATTAAATTAGATTTACTAGGCCACCCTTCCCTGCAAGCAGGGCTCAGGGTGGCTTACAACAGAGCAAGTACAATAAATAATTCAAGTTAAAACCAATGTTAAAAAACCTAAAACATATCAGCAAATAAAACAATGCTCTTCCCAAGATGGCAGAAAAGAGATTTTAATTTCCACAGGCCACCTAGGGGGAAGGGGGCTGCGTGGTGTGTGTGTGAGAGAGAGCCAGATTTTATACTGTCCCGTTGCTGTCCTCAACCAAATGCCTGGCGGAACATCTCTGCCTTGCATGCCCTGCAGAAATGTAGTAAATCCCACAGAACACGGATAATCTCCAGCAGAGAGTTCCACGGGGGGGGGGGGGGGGGGGGTCCTAGTTGAGGCCAGCTGGATCTCTCTCAGGTTGGGGACTACTAGAAAGTTCTTATTCCTGGAGTGTAACACTCTTCTGGTGGCATGCTGGGAGAGGCAGTCCTGAAGGTATGTGGGTCCCTGATCGCTAAAGGCCTTGAAAGTCAAAACCAAGACCTTGAACCTGATCCAGTGCTCCACTGGGATCCAGAATGCAGCTGTGTGGGATCAGTTGTAGTGTCCGGGTCAGGCACAAGGGTAGGCCCATGAAGAGTGAATTACAGTAGTCTATCCTGGAGGTGACCGTTGTATGGAGTACTGTACCTAGATCAGGGTGAGACAGGCAGGGAGCCGGTTGTCTAACCTGGTGCAGTTGAAAGAATGCCAGCTTGGCAGCCTTTGCGACCTGAGCCTCCATAGACAGGGCGGCATCCAAGGTCACGCCCAGACTCTTGACGGTCGACGCCGGTGATAAGGGCACACCGTCAAGAGTCCGGAGTTGGCAACCCAACCGTGGCTCACCACCACCACCACAGAACCTCCACCTTACCCAGATTCAGTTTCAGCCAACTCTGTTTTAACCACCCAACCACGGCCTCCAATTCCTTAGCTAAATTCACAGGAACGGCATCTGGCTGGCTGCCTATCAACAGAAATACTTGGGTGTCATCCGCATACTGGTGACACCCCATCCTGAAACTCTGTGTGGAACAACCACTACCTCCTTCAGCACCTCTGGAAAAATCCCTGAACCCAGGGACAGATTGACAGTGTCTTCCCGGGGACCTCATAACCTCTCACCACTGGCTTTCACCAGCTATGAGGGGCACAGGTCTAAGAGGCAGGTGGTCAGCCTAACAGCACCCAGGATCCTGTTGACATCAGCTCAGGATAGCACAAATATACAGGATATGCCGTCTAGCATTATATTGATACTGGAACGATATTTGATATTGTATGTACTTTGAGAGGTGATTTTTATACAGTGGATAAATGTGGTTTTAATATTCTTTAGTAATTTTCATGGAAGAGCTATACTATATTATAGAATGTGAGAGCACCATATTTGATACAGCATGCACACACAAAAGAAGCATGCAGGACACATCTAACAAGGTCTGAAGTTAAAAAAAATAGAATTCTATTCTTAGAGGTCCAAGTTCCGTATTGCTCAGTAACAACAATAATGGCTCTGAATGGAAGGTCAAATGCCTGCTTACCTCTAAGCAAGTCTGTCTCCAGTACTGCTATTTTCCTCTCTTCTTTTTGCTTTCGGATTTTATCCAGTTTCTTTTGCTGAAATCTAGAGATCAAAGTGTGTTGGAAAAGGACATGATCAGGCCTTAACCAATTAATGCTGCAATCCCATTTGGGAGGAACTGCTACTGAACTCACTGAGACTTATGACCAAGTGAACACACTGTCATGGATATGGCCAGAAAAAAAAGGAATAGAAGATGTTGCAGAACACCTAAATAAAACAAACCTGGCCTCTCAGGGAAGCCTGCGAAGAAGGGAGTCTACAGGCCCAGAAGATCAGTAAGAAGTATACAAAGTGGTAACAATGATATGGCCTTGTGTAGATTAAAAGCTGTCTAACCCATTATCAAGAATGTCAGCCTTCACAGAAGTCAAGATACTATTCAAAGATGGGAGTTTTGGTTGAGGGCCAAAAGATATTTATATGTAAGAGAAACTTGTAAAGCTTTGTAAAGATTAAAAGTAGCGAGAATGAACTAACATTCTCTATATATTCTAAAAAGTTATTTTAGGTATTGGTAACCTTTATGATTCTTGACGTTATAAGACAATGAGTTAGCCAAGAATGTGCTCCCTTATCAAATGGGACAGTTAACTATTGCTAGGAGATTATTCTAAAATACTATGAATATGGGATGCTGTACTGATCGAGAGCTTCTTCTCAGAAGGGGCTTCTTGCCTGTGACCTGCTTACTTTTGGGGTAAGAAATCTTTATGACTCAATTTTTAAGTCCAGTGGCACCTTTAAGACAAAGTTTTATTCCACTTCAGACCAACATGGCTAACCACCTGGCTCTATCTTTATGCCTCATGTAATTGCTCTCCTTTAATTATCTAAGTAACAATGATGGATGGATTGTATAATGATTTGTTGATTTAGTCTGTGTTAAGAATGCAATAATTATGATTTAATAAAAAGAGCTTAGAATGGAAGCAGAGATTCTCCAATAGTATTTACTTGTGTACTATACCTAAAACAAACCTATAGTATTTACTGAGGTGTATCTCTGGCTAGGAGTTAAATGATCTGGTATAGGAAAGCTAATTAGTTGCCTAGGGTTTCTTAAGTGCACACCTATACTTAAATCAGGCGTAACCAGAGTCATCCAGAACAATATATACGAGATCAGACTGCAAGTATGGATCCCAGATAGGTAGAAGCAGGTATAATTGCCATCAACACGTCAATGCATCACCTTTTTTATCCAAAGGGAAACTCACAAGAGCTTATATCATAAGACACAATGATTCTCATAGTCACATCTCTCTCTGCTTGTTAGTGCTTTCTAACCCTAATGTGTGTACAACTACAAGCCCGCCTGCCCCAAAAGTAGAGGGAAAAAGTTATATCTACTCTTTAAAAGCAATGATATATAAACTGTAATAAACAATTCACAATCTAACAAAGTCAATAACATAAACAAAAACACACTGCTGGACCTCCTGATGGCACCTGGTATTTTTGGCCACTGTGTGAGAGAGTGTTGGACTAAATGGGCCATTGACCTGATCCGACATTGGCTTCTCTTATGTTCTTATTTTACACATTATGTTAGAATCAGGGCTCTAGTCGGGGGGGAGCGCTCCGGTACGGCGCTCCGGAAGAGAACCTCTAGGGGGCGGGGCGGTCACGTGGTGAAGCCCCGCCCCCTTCTTCACCCCGCCCTCTGCTTCGATCCTCATTCCGTTGGAGAATGAGGACGAAGCAGGAGGGTAAGTAGCCGGGCCTTGCCTTCCCCGGCCTTGCCTTCCTCCCCCACCCCCCCATCCCCATCGATCCCTCTCCCGGCCGCATGCAGCGGCCGGGAGGGAAGCCCTGGGCCCTTCTTTTCTTCCCAGCGGGGCGCGAAGGCGCTCCGCTGGGGAGAAATCTCCCCCATCCCCCCCACCCCATCGATCCCTCTCCCGGCCGCGTGCAGCAGCCGGGAGGGAAGCCCTGGGCCCTTCTTTTCTTCCCAGCGGGGCGCGAAGGCGCTCCGCTGGGGAGAAATCTCCCCCATCCCCCCCACCCCATCGATCCCTCTCCCGGCCACGTGCAG